GGCAGGAGGGGCGCTGACCTGGTGCCCTTTCCCTGAGCCCTCACTGCCAGCTGGGCTATCAGGGCTGTCCCACAGAATTCCAGTCTCCTGAAATAAAGCGTGTGGGTGAGCTTTCCATCTGGCCATCCTCTGCAGGGATCCCGTTACCTTTCGGTGCCAGACCTTGTGGGTGTTTAGGGCAGGTCCCTGCACTAGCACTGCTGCGAGGTCACGGAGCAGAGGCTTGTCGTGTGCGAGCAGGAGGCTGCAGATTCTGCTTTTGCTAGGCCACGTGCTCAGGGTGGGTGATCGGCGGCCTCTGTGCTAGGTCTGCAACCTGTTGCTCTCTCATCTGCTCTGTGTGTGCAGACCTGGCTGCAGAGTGTCATGATTTGCACAGCACATGCAAGCTTTACAGCACAGGGAGGCCCAGCTGGTGTAGCTGCCTGTCCCTTGTGAGTCAGAGCAGCCCTGGCACCTTTGGTTTGGCCAACCAACACACAGCCCTAAGGGTTGTACTCTCCTTCCCTGCAGTGTGAGGGTGTCCACAACTCAAGGTGTCCTCGGCCACAGGCCTGCTGTGCTCATGCAGCTCGGGGGCCTGCAAGTGAGGTGCTGTGCATAGGCGGTGGCACTTGTTGCATGAAATGAATAAATCTGAAAATAGAAGGCCCATGGTCCACCCTTCGCAGCACTTCGAAAGGCTCACAGTTTGGAGGGAGCCTTCCTGCCGCTGTGCTGGAGGTATTTTTGGCTGCCTCAGGCCCACGAGCCGTGCCCGGGCATGCAGCACTGCTCTCACACATCAGCTGTGGCGCTGAATGGGAAGGAGGCAGGCTGGTGGTGCTGCTACATGAGAGCTCTTGCTCTCGTTTATGCAGGAGGCAGGCACTACAGTCCCCACCACGATGACTGCCGAGGGCTTGTGCAGCCCACAGGCGCTCGCTGCTGCCGTCCTGCTCTGGTGCTGGTGGGGAGACGCCTGCCCCTCGCTTCGGGGCCGGCTGAAAGCTCAGCGCGGATTATTCTCAGACCTTTTGGCCCCCGAGGCCCTTGTTCTCACGGCCTTGCCCCCTTCAAGCAGCTTCTGCCTCTGTCTGAGTTGTGTGATGTCGGACAGATTACAGCTGGAGTGGAAATTCTGGGCAGAAAGGAACTGCGCGGAGTTTGGGAACTCGCTCGCCTCGCTGTAACCAAAGCCCTGAGGGCTGTACCACATCTTGACCAGCGTGCTCCCTTCCCCATCCAGCACGGGCACCTTTCTCAGCAGGCTTCTCCACGCAGGTCACGCTTCCCAGTGCCTCAGGGGAGCCCAAGGGAGAGGAGAGGCCAGCAGCTGATGTCTGGGAGCAGGGACAAGGGGACGGGTTCTCGGCAGAGGCAGCGTGGGGACAGCAGTGTACATGGGAAGGCAGAAAGGACGGGGGAGTGCAAGCTGATGACGGGAAATGAGGCTGAAGGCAAGCTGCGGTGTGTCAGCGGGGCAGGGATAGCAGCAGCTCCCTGGGTGGGCTCCCAGGCTTTTGTCCCTTGGTCCCTCCAGTGTCCTGACAGGGAGGAGACAGAGACAGAAGCCCAGGAGATCTCGGTGTCACACATGGGTGGCTGTTAATAACACGCCTTTGCTGTGGTTGAGCTGTGCAAGTCAACCGTCCCGGCCTGGGGAAGGCAGCCTGTAAGCTGCAGTGGGCTCTGGTTTGCATGCTGCCAGCCCGGGTGCCACAGCAGCAGCCCAGCAGCAAGCCTGGCTTCAGACACTCAGCTAGGATGGGCCCTCGTCATGGAGCAGGGTGAAACTTGGGCTTGTTTCCCTCACTGTAGCCCAGTGGTTGGAAAAAATGCATTTCCAGCCGACTAAGTAGAGGCTTGCTGAAAGGTCTGGAGGAGCTGATGGCGTTTTTCAAGTCCAGACTTCTGTAAGGCCCAAGGCTTGTTGGTCATGCAGCCAGGAGTGTCCTAAGTGGGGGCCTCTTGCCACCTTTGGTGCAAGCCACAGCTGGGAGCGTGGAGAGGCAGCCTGGCATCGTTCTCGCTTCTGGACACTGTCAAGAGGGCGCCGGACTGTTGGAGGGGCAGAAGGAATGATAACACAGGAAGGACCAAGCAGATCACGGGCACGATCAACATAATACCTGAGGTTTTACGTGAGGCTTCTGGAGCAAAGCAGAGTGATGGACCTGAGCATCAAGAAGCTCTCCGTGATATAGGCAGAGCCTGTGCCTTGAGGGATATTGCATGTTTGGGTGCAGGAGTCTGCATGTTGGGTTTTATAGCTACCTGAGGGCAGCACACACCCTGGGATATGTCCCTGCTTTAGCAACATCTCTGCCACCAATGCCAGGCAGGAGCGTGGGAGGCTGAGGAGCTCTGAGAGGTCTGGTTAGAAAAAAAACTCCCAAAAGCTCCGATTGCAGATCTTGAGCAGGCCAGAGTTGATCTCTCCTTCCTTATTCACAGGAGATTGAAACGATAAAAGCTGCTTGTAAGTGGCACTGATATCCTAGTACATGCAGCAGTGTTTCCTTCCCCTCCCACCCTGCAGATGCCAGACTGCCCCCTTACCTAACAGCCCAGTGATGCAGCCTGCAGAGCTGCAACAAGCACCGGCTGCTCTCTGTCCTGCCTCAGCTGCAAGCAGTCTCTTAAGAGAAGGGAGATCACAGAAATGCTGGTAGTGTTAGGCCAGGAGCATCCAAGACTCAGCTCTCCTTAGTCTCCTCTCCGCCCAGCTCACGGTTCCCCAGCTGCTCTGCACACAGCTTTGGTGGTGCACATCAATCCTGGGCACCCCATGTGGGCAGTCCATCTGCACTGCCAGCAGCAGCTCTCGACACCTTCGATACAGCATTCGGACCTCAGGCTGGGAGCCAGTTGCAAGCAAAGGGGATATCTTCACCATCGGATCTGAGCTGCCACACGGCGCTGGTGTGGGCTGTCAGATGACTGCCCAGCAATAACCTTCACCACTGGTGGCTGAAGCGTGAGTCCATGTGCCACTTTCTGACAGCTCTGAAGATAAAAAGAGCTGTAATCAGCTAGTAACCAAACTTAAATGTCAAGCCAAGGTTGTTCTAGCAAGTTTCCTCATGCGACTGTGGTGCGAAAAGGAAGGAAGCTGTGTTGAGAGATCTTCCTGCCCATAGCAGCAGCTCAGCAAGCACTGCACCAGCTTCATGTCAGTGGGATATCTGGGGCAGAAGGGAGCATCCCTTCAGCTCGTTTGGGATGGAGTTGGACAATTACATCTCCCCCAGTAGTTTAAACCAGTCAAGAAGAGTTTGCTGCAGTTTGCCGTACCCAGGCAGTTCTCTCTGGTGTTGTTTTAACGTGTTTCATTTCCTCAGACAATTTTAACACCTGTTGGTGATGATGCAATTTGCTGCACTGTCCCTCAGACGAGGGAGAAACCCACATTGCTCACTGTGATGGAACTGGAGGAATCCTTCCGAGGAGATTGCACTTTGGTTTTGCTTTTGGTTCAGCAGGGCTTTAGCTCCCCTGATGCTGGAACTGCAGATTCCTCTGGAGAGCATCACTGCACTTTTTTCCCTCCTTGTCTGATATTGCTGAGTACAAACATGGCAATAAGATGAGAAAATGAAGAGCAAGCTCCTTTGCATAGCCAGGCTGGACGAGATGGAACCAAGCCTTGCCTTCTGCAAAAATACAGACTCTGCTTTAGACTCCTCTCAAAGAAACAGAGGCATAGTCCAATGTGCCTCTTGCTTGCGGTACAAGCACTGAGCAAAAGCTCCAGAAAATAGCATGTATGTACCATCTAATATGCATACACCAGAAAGGGAAGCTTCTGTCTGAAAAAAAATGCCTTTTTGCATGGATCTCAGGGTGTTGGGTTTGGATCATGGTGTTCTGACGGTCTTCAAGCATTGTTGACCTGCAAGCGAGTGCCTAAAAGAGCGTGACTAGGGAGGAAGAAAGATGTGAGCACAGCAGATGCTAATCCTAGCGCCGTGGTGGTTGGCGTGCTCTGCCCTGGTGAAGGGTAGAGGAGCAGCCTTTTCAGCACAGAAGTTGTTGAGAGCTGTGGGGGTGGCAGCTGGTGTATGCCTGCGTAATCTCGAGTCCCCTGCCTTTGTAGCAACTGACGATCCAGAAGTTTGCTTCTACCAAGCTGCGGGTGCCAGTGTTTTTTGAGTTACCCTCAAATAAATCCTCTCTGTTTAGAGGCTGAAGACAAGTGGTGGCTGGAGAGCTGGAAGAGAAGCAGTAGCTCTGGAGGACAGGAGTGCTGGTGCTAGTCAGCCAGCCTCTCCCACTCAGACATTTGCATGCCAAGCTGAGAGCGCTGAAACCACTGCGGCAGCAGCTTCCATCTGTGGCCCCACGGACAGCTGCCACGTCCTGGCAAGCTGTCAGGCTTGGAGGGCTGGGCAGGGAAAGGTCAAGAGACCTGTTAAAGCTCTTTCCAAAGCGAGGGGGAAGCTTTGAGCAGCACAGATGGGATGTTTTTCCTAGCTTTCCTCTGCTCCAGCTCTCTCCGCCAGACTCTGCTAAATGTGCCTGCCCCACTTTGACTTGCCTGACCTTTTTCCTTCTTTCGTGCTTAGTTTCCATTTGCCACAAATTCTGCGGGGCTGCTGCTTGTGCCGAGTGCTTACGGCTGGGACACCAAGAGTGCCAGCACCAGGGGAGCAGAAAGCAGGGGGGCAGTGGCCAGGGCTGACCTTGCCGAGAGGTGCCGGGACTGCTGTCCTTCAGGCAGCAGGGCAGGAGCTTGTCCTCAGAGCGCTCCAGCAGGTGTTTCTGAGACTCCTTCCCTGTGCTAAGCTGTGAAAATAGATGGAGAGACTGCCGTAAAAAAGAGCTTTGGCTCTGAGCTCGAGGGGAGGGAGAGCCCCGTGGCCCAGCTGCTGGCGGTGGCTTTAGCAGGTGCCGGTCTGAGCCCCGCCACGCATCGCAGCACCCAGCTCCCCGCCGTGTCCCTGCTCCTGCCCCCCATCCCCGCCATGCCCCGCAGATCCGCGGGGAGCCTCTTTAACTCCTGGTTTCTGTGCCAACAGCCAGCACCCGCCCGCGATGGAAACCTTTTTTAAGAGGCATTTCGGGAGGAAGGGCTCACCGGGGCCGCGGCGTACCAGCGTGGTGGCCGTGCCCACCAGCAAAGCCCGCCGCCGCTCCCAGGCCGGGCTGCCCTCCGCCTCCTTGGCCCAGCGCCGCCGCGGCTCCAGCACCGTGCCGCTGCCCCTCTCCTGCCTTCCCCTGCCCCGCCGCAGCAGCCCCCGGCGCCGCTCCAGCACCACGCCGCCCTGCCTCAGCCCCCGCTTCGCCGTGCAGCAGCACCGCGGGGGCCGGCTGCCCGCCATCGATGCCCAACTTCTGGGCCACCCCATGCTGCTGGCCGGCCCCCTCCCCGACGGAGAGGAGGGCGATGGGGTGCCACACACCGACACCTCCATCTCCTGGCCTCTGGAGGATGGCGGTGGCCACGCAGCGAGCGGCGAGGCGGAGCGGGGCGGGCGGTGGGCCGAGGAGAGCTGGCTGACCATGCTGCCCCGGCTGCGGCCGCTGCAGGCCGGGCTGCTGACGAGGGGTCCCCGCTGCCTGCGCCGCACCTCCTCCCACGTCCTGCCCACAGACAGCGGCTGCGGCCGGGTGCCCCACGGCCTGCCGGGCCGCTACCGCCGCCTGAGCCAGCGCCGCCGCTCCAGTGACGCCCTGCGGCCCGGGCTGCTGTCCCCCGGCCGCGCGTGGCGGCTGGCCCAGCAGTGCGCGGGGGCAGCCGGGGCCGCCTTCCCCGAGTGCTTGGGACCGGAGCCCGCCTGCTGCCCCGACGGCTGGAGCCCCCGGCTGCTGTATGTATGGCTGGGCGCAGGAGGCGATGCACGGGGAAGGGAGGTTGGGAGGGGTGAGAGGGACAGGCAGGGCGCTCTGCGCCCCCCGGGAAGGCTGCTTCAGGCTCCGCCACGTCTTGGTGGGGCAATCTGGGGTGTTTTGCAAGGGACTTGCCATCCCTGAGGGCTTCGGTGTGTGTTCCTTCTCCCCTGAGCTAATAGGTGGCCCTCCCGTGTCTTCCAGGAAAGCTATTGCCAAGTCCAGCCTCCAGCACATGGTAGCCCAGCCAAACCCCACGCTAGCCCTGAGGAGCGATTCGGAGAGGCAGATCCGCAGCACCGTGGACTGGAGCGTAAGTTGGGTTGCATCTTGCGAGTTGTGTTGTGTTGCACCAGGCACTGCGTGCGGTGGGCTCCTGGCCAGAAAGCAGCGGGCTCTTCCCACGCTGAGGCTTCCCAGGTGGCTTCGGCTTTGACACATTTATGGCCCCTGCCGTTGCCACCAGCTGGTGCCAGCATCTGTGCTGCTGGCAGCACCCCTCAACGCTGCGAGGAGAGGCCATGCAGCCACATGCTGTGCCCCGGGAGGGTGGCACAGATACGGCGCTTCAGCTTTTCTCTTCCTGGCGTGGAGGGCTGCTGGTGGCTGGGGCTGAGGACAGGAGCCTCTGCTCCTTCACAGGCAAAGCCAGGCAGGTTTTAAGCTGCACCTTTGGGTCATAAAGCAGAAACCGTTCACGTGTGGTGAATTTGCCCAGATGGCTCCTATCAGGGTGGTGGAAGCAGCGCTTCTGTGCAGGACAATTTGCAACTGGGCTGTAGGTCCTTGCGGTGGGATGCGAAAGGGGAGAGAGTCGGTTTCCTGAGGAGCTCTGATTGCTGGTGGGTGAGTGGTGGCAGCAGCTTTGTGAGGTTTCCTTCGTGCAGATGTTAGCCCTGGTTGTGCAGTGCATCTTGTCGCCCTGGATTTAGCTTCCTCTCCCTCCCCCCACACCTCCTTCCAGTTATCTTGTCCCTAGCACAAAGCAGTTTAGGGATCGGATGCCCCTCTGGGGGTGCTCTCAGAAATACGTTGTCTCGTGCCTTTCAGGAGACTGCAGTCTACGGGGAGCACATCTGGTTTGAGACCAACGTGTCTGGGGATTTCTGCTACGTTGGGGACCAGAACTGCATGGCAAAACTGCTGGTAAGTCACTTGGGGTCACCCGCGGCCCTCGCAAGGTCCGCAGCTGCAGGCTGTGCTGCCACCCGGCGGAGAGACCACGAAGGCCCTGCCGCTGCCTGGTGCTGGGAGAAGAAGCGTGGGGGGCCTGGAGAGCTAGCAAGAGGAAGAGCCATGTGTTCCTCCTACATCTGCGTGCTGGAGTGCCGCATCCCCCGTTTCTGCCAGTGCCGATGTTTGGTGTGCGATTGCAAACCAGCCAGAAGTGAGATGATGTTCCAGGGAAAGGTTGTTGGGATCCCACGTGCTTAGAGGAGGAATCTGAACCCATCTGCTCTGGAAAGACCATTCAATAGTGGGGAAAAATGAGCACTGGAGATCCAGGCCTGCTGCCTCCTGACCCTGTATAGCAGTACTGGAGCCCAAACATATTGCGGGCACCTCCCTGCTGCGTTGCAGAACCAAGAGCATCAGCTCTACGTACATGTTTAGGTCCCTTCACTTGCTTACTAGGTTGTATGTAACTCCTACAGGACTTGTTCTGTGCTCTGAAAAATATGAAGGCAATGTGAGGGGAGATTGAGCTTGCTGGCCTCTGAACCCTGCTGCTCACGTGCATGTTTTTCCTCCCTTTTTCTCATCCTCCAGCAAAAACCTCTCTCCAGGCGTAAGTGTGCAGCCTGCAAGATCGTAGTGCATACACCCTGCATAGAACAGCTGGAGAAAGTGAGTAAAGCCTGTTAAGCCCCTCTCTGTGGCTTGCAAAGCTCTAACAGCCTTTTCCTGGCCAGCCCTGTCTCTGGGATAGGGCAATTCAAGAGGGTTGGGAACTGCAATGTGTTGTTGCGAAGAGGGGTTCTGTGAGGAGACAATATCAAAAGGAGCACTAATGGTGTGATTGGGACCCCAGGCCCCATTTTGTTCAGTGAGAGATAAGTTGGGAGTTTCATACACAAGCAGTGAACATCTCCAGAGGCTCTGCTCTAGTAAAATAAATTCCAGTAGGTTTCCTTCAGGTGATGGTTTTACTGATTCCTCCCATGTGTGTTCAATCCACAGATAAATTTCCGCTGCAAACCTTCCTTCAGGGAGTCAGGATCCCGGAACGTACGGGAGGTGAGAGATGTGCCTTGGACTGTGCCCGTGTCTGCCTTGTCACCTTTCCAGTTTGGTGACAAAGGGATCAGATGCTGCCAGCGTGCTCCCAGCCCATGCTGGCAGCGTGTTGTCCATCAAAGCACTGGCATTGTGCTGCCTCCTGGCTCCGAAGAGGAGGTGCAATAAGGGAATATTTCTTCGCCAGGCACCAGCACAGACTGGTTGTGTGGAGAGAGGAGATTGCAAGCAGCAAAAGGCAGAGCATCTCCTGGTTTGCACGTGCTACAGCTCGTGTACCTGCATGGGGGGAACCTGCAAGCAGTGTTTCCTGAGAGGGTTTTTGCCCCTCCTGTGCTGGTCCCCAAGCAAACAGAGCAGGCAGTGGTTTCCTCAGTCTCCACAGTTTGGAAGGGGGCAGTGTGGGCTCACTTCTTGCTTTCTCACTCAGTCTTGCCCTGCGTGACACAGGTACTCCATGTAGCAATGGAAGAACTCCACAGTGGTGCTGTTGGACCCCTTTATTCCACATCGTGATGTAGTGGGTGCTGCTTCTTTCCTCAAAGAACATGGCTGTTAGGAGCTAGGCAGGCAGCTGCTTGGCTGCAGGCACTCTGATCATCTTGCTGTACACACAAACTGTCTCACAGGGGTTTTTTGTACCTTCCACTGTCACTTTTTTCACCTTATCATGTGGTCATCTAGTCAGAGATACTGAGACAGAGCTGTGATTTATTGCCAAAGTAGCATTCCACACTACTGCTTACCTAGTCTTTTGTTTGCTTTCTGTGATTCTGTCTTCTGTTTCCCTTGCTTCCTTCCTGTTTTTTTTTGATTGTTTTTGTGTTTGTTTTGTTTGGTTGGTTGTTTTTGTTTTGTTTAATTCCCTCTTCTCTGAGCATCTTAAGTTGGCCTCATTTCTGTGGCTTTGACTAGAGGTTTATTGCTGGTGCATGTGAACAGTGGGCTTGCTGCAGTAGCAGAGGTCCTGGCTGGCCTGTATCCATTCCTCATGCCCGTTTCTCCATTCTTGCACATACTTATCCTTTAACTTTTTTTTTTTTTTTTTTTTTTTTTTTTTTTTTTTTTACTTTTTTTCTTTTCTCTTTAGCCTATAGTTGTCCGGCATCACTGGGTGCACCGGAGACGGCAGGAAGGGAAATGCCGGCAGTGTGGCAAGGTGAGAGGGCATCTTGTTTTTTTCTCAGCCTGAAGGAAAGCTAAGGTCAGACTAGGAACAATAGCAGGGCTGGGAGGCAGAATTCCTGCATAACATCCCACTATTCCTGCTAGGCAGGAGCAGCCTAGGGCAAAACCAAGGCTCATGCCCTGTTTTGCATAGTGAAATACTACCTAGGTCCCATTTCGAGTTGTTCTCCCCCTGGGCCCGATCAGTCCTAGAGGGACATATTTTATTCCTGACATATTTTATTTGGGTAACAGGGTCACTGGTGCTGTAGTGGTGGTTGGGGCTATCTGACAAGGATCCAGAGGGCTCCAGCTGCAGGCACATTCTCTTTGTTTATGTCTTTCCTAGTGGTGGGAAAGTCCCGCTGGATGGTAGGAAGCTGTCAAAGAATTCCCTAAGCCTCTTAACCTTCCCTCTGCAGGGTTTCCAGCAAAAGTTTGCCTTCCACAGTAAAGAGATTGTAGCCATCAGCTGTTCCTGGTGCAAGCAAGCGGTGAGCAAAGCCCCCAGTGAATGTCTTACTACTCTGCTCTGTATCTAATGACCCCTGTGTTCTCTTGGGACTCCCCTAGCTTATTCTTTGCAGCCTGCCCTTACAGCTCCTCTCAGTGGGGCGGCTGGAAGCTCTTTTGGTAAACTCTCTCCTCAGTGCCTCCCAAGGGAAGCCTTCCCATTACAAAACTCCTATGTCATTTCCTCCAGCAATGGCATGGGGGAGCTGGGAGGAGAAAGTGGCTGTCCCCAGCAAATGGAGCAGCTGAGTTTTCTCTCTGTCTCTCTGCTTCTCCAGTATCACAGCAAAGTGTCTTGTTTCATGCTGCAACACATCGAAGAGCCCTGCTCACTGGGGGCTCATGCTGCTGTCGTTGTTCCTCCCACTTGGATTTTGCGGGTCCGACGGCCCCAGGTAAGGCATATCAGCTCCTGGGTTATTGCCTGACTCCTGCTTGCCCAGCAGCTCCTCACACACTGTTTGGGTTTTGTCTCCAGAACCCAATGAAATCCAGTAAGAAGAAGAAGAGGACATCATTCAAGCGGAAATCCAGCAAAAAGGGTGCTGAGGTGAGAGATAAGGGAACGGGACCTTGTGTTGGAAGGGCAGAGGGTCTGGGCAGCAAGGAGCAGGATTGGGAAACGGGCGCTTTGCAGGGTCTGTGCTGAGGTTAAGGAGAGTGAGGTGGAGGGAGGGTGCTGGGGCAAGGAGGAGCCTCGGGGGGTGGCTGAAGATCTCAGAGGATGGCACAGAGACGAGAAAGGCCTGGCAGGTGAGTTTTACCTGCTGGCAGGGTAAATCCCAGCTATAAGGCTTATGGGGTGGCTGGGATTGTTTTCTTCCTCCAACTCCTAATCTGTGTGGTGTTAGCACTCAGATGGAGGTGGGAGTTCACATTTCACCAGGTTTGTTGATGAACATATGGCGTCTCTTGCAGGAAGGGAGGTGGAAACCCTTTGTCATCAAGCCCATGCCAGCTCCTCTCATGAAACCCTTGCTGGTGTTTGTGAACCCCAAGAGCGGTGGGAATCAGGTATGGCCTTTTCCTACACCTCCCTGAGAAGGCAGCTCTCTGAGGGCATTGCCATTTGGCTGCTGAGAACTCTGCATAGCTTTGATAATGTCTCAGCTGCAGAAGAGACCAGCAACCTCCATGGTGTCAGTTTGCTGCCTGGTGCTTCCCACCTAACCCAGGCTTTGCCTGAGTCCCCCCGAACACCATTGTCTTGGCCTGTCCCCAAAACCAGATGCCTTCTTTCCTCTGTCCACTGGGAACTGCTTGTTTCCTGAAGCTTTTCTTATCCCCCTAGGGAGCCAAGATCATCCAGTCCTTCATGTGGTATCTCAACCCACGGCAAGTGTTTGACCTCAGCCAGGGTGGACCCAAGGAGGCGTGAGTACTGATGTGGGCAGCACCCTTCCCTTCCCCAGAGCTCATTCTGCAGCTGGCAGAGGCCTGATGCTCCATAGCTCCCTTGTGCAGAGACATTCAAACAAGTACAGGATCTGAGAGGCCTCTCTAGGATATGTTCTGGCCAGTCCTGACTTTCCAGTGTTTTCTGCAGGACAGGTGGTCTAACCTTAAGGCTAGTGGCTAAGAGATGAGGTGACATTCCCAAATCTAATTTATGTTGCATCAATGCCACGTGAGTCCAGTTTGTTTGCTGCGTTTCAGTTTATCCATATGTACAGTGACTATAAATACCCCACTCTCCCTCCACAAGAGCAAAATTACCATGGCTTGCCCCCTGCTGAGGTGATAGGGAGACGAGCACAGCTTTGTGAATGCCACCTCCCTCAGGGCTCTGTGAGGGCAGGGACCCTGCAGTGACACCTTTCCCTGGCTGCAGTCTCAGTGTCTGCCCTCCCCTCTTGTCCCTCCCTGTTCCCTGCAGGCTGGAGCTGTACCGCAAGGTCCACAACCTGCGGATCCTGGCGTGTGGGGGAGACGGCACGGTGAGTCCCCCTGTCCCCTCGTGCCCTCCGTAACCTTTGCAGTACCCTTTCAGCAGCTCCCCTCGCTGTAATTCAGAACGGGGCAAAATGTGTGCGCTCTATCTGTGGTGCGACTGGTAGCACCAGATGCTGTGGGTTCCCTCATGCACCTTTCCAGGGTGCACTATTTGCATGGTGTGTCTGCTTTTGTGGTCACTGTGGGGAGCAGTGTCCCCACTGGGGTTTCTGGTATCTGCTGCAGCACCCGTTTGGAGCAATAAGGAACACGAAGAGCCTCAGCAGTGGCTAAGGGGACCTGTCTCTTTCTGTGGCCATAGCTAGTGCTCCATGTCACCTTCACCTACTTGCTGGTCCCTGAAATAACCAACTGTTTCTCCGCGCTCTCTTGCTCGAGCAGGTGGGCTGGATACTCTCCATTCTGGACCAGCTACGCCTCAACCCACCTCCTCCCGTGGCCATCCTGCCCTTGGGGACCGGGAACGACTTGGCCAGGACACTGAACTGGGGTGGGGTAAGTGATGGGCAGAAGAGCTTACTGCTGCCAGAGGTAGGCCTGAGCAGTGTGACCCTGATTCTAGACATGTGGTGGGGATTTGCACCAACTTTCTATAAAAACAAACCAACAAATAAGTGTCATTTGGACAGTAACTGTTCTTCTGACATTTGAGTTACTCTGAATAGGATTCCAATATATTAGGGCACTAACAAAAGCAATCAGTATTTCATACTTTCAGGAGATTTTTAGAATGAAGATGCATTGTTTTTTAATTGAAAGCCCCTTCTAGTTGTTGTGCATTCAAGTAGAATCTGTCTTTTCCACACCCTTTGCTCTGGGATGCCTGCCCACAGTCCACTGTCTCTGGGACATCTCTGGGAGACAGACAGCAGACTCACCAGATCCTGCTCTTTACCAGGGTTACACAGATGAGCCTCTGTCCAAGATCTTGTCACATGTGGAAGATGGAAACATTGTGCAGCTCGATCGCTGGAACCTCCATGTGGAGCCAAACCCTGATGCAAACCCTGAGGAAAAGGATGAGGCAGCCGCTGACAAGGTGGGTCAGCTCCTCTCTGCCTTCATTCCCTGCTCCACTGAAATATCTGCTGCACCTCTGCTGAGGAGGGGGTGGCTGGATGCTGCATGGTCCCTTATGGTCCCTGTTCCTGGGCTCTGCCTGTCCTGCAGCCTGTGCCAGTGCTGTGAGGCCACTGAGCTGAGGGCAGCAGAAAAGGGATGGTCCGTCACCTCATGCTGGTCACCTCTTATGTCCTGGGGGGAAGGCGAGTCCCCACTCAACCTCATGAGCACAGTGCATGGCTTTACTATAGCCTCACCTCATCTTTGCCATGGCCACACATTGGCAGCCCCATCCTGCCAGCAGCAGGGTTTCCAGTCTTATTCTTCCGTTCCATTTCAGCTCCCCTTGGATGTCTTCAATAACTACTTTAGCCTTGGCTTTGATGCACGGGTGACACTGGAGTTTCACGAATCCCGAGGTAGGTGGCAGCAGGGTGCGGCAGGGCTGGGGCGGGGTCTGTGATGAGGGGGTGCCACAGAGGTGGCTCCTCAGGAAAGCAGGTGAGAGAATTGATAGAGGGACAGAGGTGAAATCGGGGGAGTGAGTGGAGCTGTCGAGAGGAAAGAGGGGTGCCTGCAAGGGAGAGAGCTGGGGACTGTCCTGGCTGAGGCTAGCTGTAGAGCCGTGTTTGGACAGAGCAGGCAAGGGAAGTATTTCCACGTGCAGGCCAATGACCTGGACTTTGTTCTTCTTTCCCTAGAGGCCAATCCAGAGAAGTTCAACAGCCGGTTTCGGAATAAAATGTTCTATGCTGGGGTGAGTGCATGAGGGTATCTGGGCATGCCCAGAGCTCAGGCATGGCCCCAGCTCCTGTTCACGGTCTGAAGCCACAATTCTGAGCTACTGGGGCCTGTATACACCCAAACTGAGCCCTGCCCCTGAAGCTGGAGAGGTGCTAGAGAAGGGCTGAAGCCCTGGGAGTTGCAGCTCTGCTTGGCTGCAAATGCTTCTGGTGGTACAGCTGACTCTCTGGCCTGTGGTACAGTTGCTCCCTTGATCTCCTGCCACTATTGTTCTTATTCTCAGGCTCGTGGACAGTCAGCCAGGCAGGACCTCCCCAGAGCTGTGGGAAGGCAGGCTGGCCCTCCTGCAGGGGAGCGGGAAGCCTCTCTATGCAGTCCCCACACTACTTTGGTCTTTTTTTTTTCCTTTTTATTTAAACCTTGGGCCAGTTACAGCTCCCTGGCTAATAATGCCTCCTAGAGTTTTTGTCTCAGGATCTTGTTTATTTGTCCATCCCTAGGCCCTCAATGTACCTCCCTACCCAGGTGACGGTGACTGGTATTTGAGCAGTACTGAAGGCCAAATGCTGCTCTGCACCATCTCACATCTCTCCTAGTTGTCCCCCGTCCTCGCTGCACAGTTAAACACAAAGGGTACCTTAGGATCTATGCAGCAGAGGCCATGCAGTCTCTCCTGGTTTCTCTAAATGGGGTCACACGATCTGTTTTATGCATGAGATTGAATTTGTCTCTTGTGACTCGAGTGTCTTGGTAGAGGAACCCCCCCTTGCCTGTTATTCCCTAAAGCCAGGACTGGGCTAACAGGGGAAAGTGAGAGCATGTTACTGAAGCTGTGAGGTGCCCCAAGGTTTTCGGTAGGTAAAATGTCAAGAGGAACAGATCAGGTTGTTTTGAGAGGGGGAGAGAAGAGGATTTCTGCCAGCAGATAGGGAGGGTCTTTGCTCCTCTCAGCAGCTGAAGTCTGAGGGTGGATGGCAGGCTTCCTGGCTGCCCGTTTCACTGAACGTTTGGGCACTAACTTTGTCTCTTGCCTTGGCAGACGGCTTTCTCCGACTTCCTCACAGGGAGCTCCAAAGACTTAGCGAAGCACGTCAAGTTGGTTGTGAGTGTGCATCAGTGTTCTGGGCCAGGGAGGGGGGCAAAAACTGTATTGGGGGTGAGGAGCGTCCCCTCAAAGCACACTGAGTACCTCAGGGTGTTCCTTGGGGTATCAGCTTCCTCTGGCTGGGAGGTCAGTGGCCGTGAGGAGCAGAGCGGGTAGGGTGGGACAGAACCCCTCGTTCCAGCAGCCTGAATGCCCCTGTGTTGTCTCTAGTGCGATGGGACAGACCTGACCCCCAAGATCCAGGACCTGAAGCCTCAGTGCTTGGTCTTCCTGAACATCCCCAGGTGAGCAGCTCCTTGCGTGCTGGACTCCTCACTGCCTTCCAACGGATCTGTGAGTCTGAGGGTGCCTGTTCATGCTCACTGTCCCCTCACAGGTACTGTGCAGGCACTATGCCCTGGGGCAACCCTGGCGAGCACCACGACTTTGAACCACAGCGCCACGATGACGGCTGCATTGAAGTCATCGGCTTCACCATGACCTCCCTGGTGAGTTGGTGCTGTCGCTGGTGGTAGCTAGCAGCCAGGGGAGTGGCAGGGGAGCTGGAGTTAGATGATCTTTAAGGTCCCTTCCAACCTGAGCCATTCTGTGATTCTATGAGTGACTGGTCCCATCGCCCAGGAGTCAGGGAGCCCCACTGCTCCTCAGCTCTCCTCCTGTGGAGTTGTGGTGCTGGCAAGTGACAGTATCTGAGATTTAGGCAAGGTGCTGTCATGCACTGATCCTGTGAATCATCTGAAACCCTGAGAACTCAGCTCACTTGCGAAGTCTGGCCGTCAGTGGGTGTTCTCCCCATCCACCTCTCAGTCTGTGCTCTGCTCTCACTCTGGAATTCTTTCCCAGGCTGCTCTGCAGGTGGGTGGCCATGGGGAGCGGCTGTGCCAGTGCCGGCAGGTGGTTCTCACCACGTCCAAGGCCATCCCCATGCAGGTGGACGGGGAGCCCTGCAAGCTGGCGGCTTCCTGCATCCACATCTCGCTGCGCAACCAAGCCAACATGGTGCAGAAGACCAAGCGGCGCAACTCCATGCCTCTGCTCAATGAGTAGGTTCCTCAGATTGGCCTGTCACCTCCTCTCCAAAGCAGAAGGGGTGGATGGGGATGGGGAAGGACTCATCTGTCACTCCCACGAGCATTTTGATCCTCTCAAGGAGGGGCTGGGAAGGGATCAGGCTGCAGAAGTGTGGCCAGACCCTGATTCTGGAGAAGCTTCTGGTGGCAAGCTCCCACTCCAGCCTGTGTTCTTGCTTGTATCGGAGGAGTGGGGTGGATAAGAAGAAAGTGAGCTGTCACTTTCTGACCCTTCTCTTTTCCTTCCTGACTGCACGCAGCCAGCAGCCAGTACCTGAGCGGTTGCGAATCCGGGTGAGCCGAATCAGCATGCGCGACTACGAGGCACTGCACTACGACAAGGAAAAGCTCAAGGAAGCCTGTGAGTGACCACCTGAGTACCCAGGGGTGGGAACTGCGCTCCCCAAGTCCAGCAGTGCCCACAGCTGAGCTGTGTGATGTGCTGGGGATCAGGCACAATCTGCTCCCTGAGTTGTGTTTGTGTCCTGTTGTGCAGCCGTGCCGCTGGGGATCATCGTGGTTCCAGGAGACAGTGACCTGGAGTTGTGCCGGACCCAAATCGAGAGGCTGCAGGAGGTGAGGCTCTGCATGGGAACTGGTTGCAGATGGATGCTGAGAGTGGAGGGGCTGGGAGAAGGGATTTCTAGGCCTCTTTGATCTGCACACAGCAGCACACATGCTCACAGTTCGCTTTTACCATGTGATGGAGGCAAGATCCCAAGGTGGTTGGCATATTTCTCCCTGCTCTCTAGCAACTTATTTCTCAGCATTGCTCTTCTGACCTTGTTCTCCCAGACAGAGTGTCAGTGGCCCAGAAAAATTGCAGGCCAGGGGAAGAGGCCGGTACACATCCTACAGGGACCTGTCACCTCCCGGCTGTTTGCGGGGAGACCTTTCCTCTCTCCGTTTACTTGTTATACCGTGTGTTCCTTCAGCCTTCTGCAGGCTCTGTCTCCTTGCACAACTCTGCCTCTCCCTGGGTACCTGGATTAGGGTTGCTCCCCCCTCCAAATCTTTTCAGCTGCAAGTACTAACCTTAATGTTCCTGCCGCTGTGCCATTGCACACCCCCAGCCTGCACACAGGCCGCATAAACCTTGCTCCTGGTGAGCAGTGCCTTCTGAGCCCACAGCGTGCCCTCTGGTGTTGTACTGCACAATCCATTTTTCTCCCAGAAGATCTACAGGACAACCTTCCAACCCGAGCCACTCTGTGTTTTACCCCTTCTCTCTCCTTGAGCAAATCCTGTGCTCTAGCCCCGGAGCAAGGCAGGGACCTTGGCCTGGCAGGATGTAAAGCTCCTTGCCACATCTGCAGTGTGGTGACAGAGCCAACCCCTGGGGGACCGAAGAAGGGACGGGGGGCTGCCCAGACAGGCACTGTAACAGCACACCTTGCCTTTCTGCAGGATTTCCCTCCACAGCCCTCTGCTTTGCAGCGCCTGCTCTTTCAGGTGTGTATGGTTTCGCTCTGTCCCCCAGGCCCATCTTTCATGTGCACCATGCTGGTCTTGTGGGCTCATCTTGTGGCATTTCTCCAGTGAGATGGCGTGTGTCAGCTCTGGTTTGTCCCATGCTGTTTCTCATCACTGTGTGCTGTGACTGTGTTCAAAATTCCCCTTTCTGTCCAGGTCCCTGCAGCCCTCCAGTCTGCAGGGACCTCCCAAGGCAGGAGGGACACACTGGGGTGAGAACAGGGAGGCCAAGAGGCATAACTCCTCTTTTTTTTTTATGCAGGAAGGAGATGGAGCCAAACCGAAGACACTGTCATCCCAGAAGCTGTCACCAAAGTGGTGTTTCTTGGACTGTGAGTATCTTCCTCCCCTGGGAGCACTGTGCATGAATCAGGGGGCTGATGGGAGAGGCCTTTAGTGGCAAGCCATGTGGGATCTGGGACTCAAGGATGCTGGGGTCTTTGTAGCCAGGTTCAGTAGATTTTGGCCCCAGGCTGTGCCTCTGGCTGCTTGCCACAAGTGAAGCAATGTGCCTGCGAGGCGAGGAGCATCTGCTGGTCTCCAGCCCCCAGAGCTGAAAGTGGCTTTGCAGTGCATGCCTGGTCTTTACAGGACTGGAGGTGCTGCTCTCCTGTGTCGTGCAGGCAGGGGGCCCCCATGCTCCAGCACGCTGGGAGCAAGACATCACCTTGTGTATCCTGGAGGTATGGGGACGAGTCTCCCTGCCGGTCTTCAGCTGCTTCTCCTTCCCATCCTGGAAAGAACTTTCTCATTCCTCTTTGTCTTTGCTGACCTGGAGGCCAGAGCTCTCCCTGTGCACCTGGAAGCTGGCCGAGAGAAGTGACTACCAGCGATATTTCATCTCCCTGACTCGCAAGAGGAGTTTCTAGCTCCCAGTAGCAGGGCGTAGGGCAGAGCAGAGCTGCTCTTCTCCTGCGTTGTCAGAGGGCAGCGCACAGGAGCTTAGCCCCTGCGTGCAGGAGGGCTGCTGGAGACCAGGAGGAAAGCCAAGAGCAAAAGCCAGCCCCATCCCCAGAGCTGACAGCTCACAGAGACACTGCTGTGTTTCCTCTGAGATTCCAGGTCTCAGGCACATGCGTTGGGCCTCTTTATCGTGGAAGGGGACACCATGCACAGCCACGAGTTGCAACATGGGCTCAGGAAGCCTCCTGCTAGGCAGAAAGGATGTAGCTTCTGCCCTGGGGCTTTCAGCCTGGCTGGGATGGCTGCTCCCAGGTGTCGCTACCAGGACTGCTTTCCCTCCTCCAGCCAGTCTCCCAGCAGCAGGTTCTGAGCTCAGGAAAATGTGTCAGGAAAGAGGCCAGGGCCTCATTCAAGACAGCGCAGGCTCATTAAAGCGGCTGAATTACAGCAGCTTCATGGCTGTAAATCTCCAGCCAGGACAGGATAAACGGGGTTCTTTCACTCCTCTAATCTGCACTGGCCTGTCCCCGCTCCTTCTGCAGAGAGAATTCCCCAGGTCCCCAAGGGTCTCACCAGAGCAACCTCACCTGGGCAGCCACCAGCAGCCTGGTGTTCTTCCAGCCCTCAGTGCCACAATTTCCCTGTGCTGTGCAACAAGATGTGTCGTGTTAATCAGAGTGTTTCCTCACCTTGTCCAAGCAGATTCTGATATGAGCACAGCCTTGAGCCTTGTCTCTTCTCTCAGCATTGCAGCTGCAATGCTGAAACACCTCAAAATCCCTAGAAAAGCCATGGTGCCAGCTAGGTATGGTTGTGCCTCCCCTCTGCCTCCTGATGTTGCCAGGAATCATTGACGAGAAGGCAGTGAGCAAAAGCACATTGCATGGGGCATGGAGATCTGTAGGGCTGCCTCTCAGGTGGAGAGAACAGCGTGTCCCAAAGGGCAGGGGGCTGCTCCTGGCGGGGGGGTGCTGTTGGCTTTGCTGTGCCCTCTGCGCAGGCCACGGGGTGGCTGAACAGTTCACCAACACCCCGTGGTGGGGAGCAGCCACCCCGCTCGTTCCCCACCCAGAATCACCCCATCTGTCCCTGTCCCTGTCTTGCAGCAACCACGGCGGATCGGTTCTACAGGATAGACCGCGCACAGGTGAGCGTGGGGAAAAACAACCTTAAACTGAGGTGGGGGAAGCCCAGGGGATGGAGACCACCGAAAGCAGCCCAGACTGCTTGAGGCTAGGGGGTTGGAAATGGAGGGGGGATGTTTATTGCCTCAGCCCAGAGCAGGTAGCAGGGTGGGAGCCACCCCGCAGAGGCTGTGTCTCACTGGTGCACGAGTTTGTCTTGGCATCACCTGTGCACTGTGCAGGCAGCTGGCAGGGGAGAGGCTGTTTTAACCCAGCCAAGTGGGGATTAGTGTCCAGGCATCATCAGGGGCGTGCTTTGGGCCAGGACAGGAGTCCTGTGAGGGTCTGAGAACCCTGAACGGGGGCAGAGGCTTCCCAGGCAGAGCACCCAGGACTCTGAGCCATCATCACTGCTGAGTGTGTGGGTGGGATATGAGGCACTGGGGTGTGAGCGGACGGGAGATGGAGCTGCACAGACGTAGGTCTTGCTTCTAAAGGGGCTGACTTGTGCGTTCCAGGAGCACCTCAACTACGTGACGGAGATCTCTCAGGATGAGCTCTATGTGCTGGACCCAGAGCTGGTGATCACCCAGACTGTGGGCACCTCTCCTGCCATGCCTGACCTCGTGGACTCATCCGCTGCACCTCCTGGGCACCATTTTGCATTCCCCTCCTCTTCCTCCTCTCCACCCTGCTCTCCTGCCCCCATGTGAGTCTGGAGTGGGCAGAAATAGGGTGCTGGGCCTCGGGAAGGATGGGCAGCAATGGGGGAGTCATGGATGGCTTCACAGCTTTGATCCCTGGGCTGGGTTGCAGAGGCTGCTCTCAGGAAGTGAGCAAGAATTCCCTGCTCAGTTAGACCCAGGGCTGGGATGCTGCCCTGCCATTCCTGCTCCCTGCTGGCTCGGCTGAGGGCAGTGGAGCACCACCAGGCAACTCAGCCACGGGGCTGAGCTCCAACACCCTCCCTGTCCATTGGCATGGGTCTGGAGCTGGGGGTGGAGGTGGGAGCGGGGATGGGAGAGAATCCAGCTCGGGATAGAAGCAGATGGCGTGGGCAAAGGACAGCTAATCCTTTGGCCTGCTGCTCCTGCCTGCTGGAGGAGTGCCACAGGTAGGCATCTCCACAGCCATCCCTCCACCCACCGTGTGCCCTTCTGGGTGCTGTGCTGCCAGGGTTAGTTACATCTCTTCTTCTTCCCTTCCAGTGCTGAGGCCGAGCTCTGCCTCCCGCAGAAAGGTGAGTTCTGTCCTCACTGCAGGCGCCGAGCAGGGCTCTCAAGCTGCCGTGCCTGCTCGCGTGTCGAGCTATTTTGGGTTCCTGCCATCACTTTTTGGCCTGTCCTTCCTCTGATGTGCAGCCAGGAGCCCTGCAGCTCGTGTGCTAGGCGGGGGCGGGTGACCCCAGAGGCGGGCAGGAGAGACCTGAGGATGATTTGTGGAGCTGCCCAGGCCGGGCTGAGCTGCAGGGGAGGGCAGGAAGCGGCACGGCAGGGGGGTTAATCCCCCACCTGTGGAGCCGTGCGCCGCTGCCTGGGCCAGGGGATGTCTCTGCCAGGCCGCTGCGGGAGCTCGGGAGGTGGGAGCACAAGGTCAGGGGCCTCGCTAAGCTGAGCAAATGGAAAGAGTTTCCTGGAGCTTGAGCAGAGCCCAGTGCCTGGAAGTGTGAGTGAGTCACTGGTGAGAGGCGTCTTGGCCGCTGGCCGACACCCAGATCTGCTCCCTGCTTCCATCACGAGGCACCCTGCCCACAGGGCACAGCCCCCTGCTCCTGATGCCACACGTCTCCCTGGGGCTGAGCTCTGGCTGCACCCCCAGATGTGCATGGTGCCTCTCTCCCTCACCTGGCTTGTCCCTCCCATAGCTGAAGGTGATGGAGCTGTATAAAATCCGTGTGGTTGCTGCTCACCCTGAGAACAAGGGGTTAGCTGGAGGACCTCAGCTGCCTGCTTTGAGCCTCTGGTGTCCAGCTCTTGGCTCCCCAGTCAGATAAATAGCATTGCAGCTTTGCTTCTCTGATCCCAACCCGTCTCTCTTCTTTGCAGATGACCTTCTGATAGAAGCTGCCAAGAGCGGCGACTTCAGCAAGGTGGGTGCTTTGGCTGTGTGCCACGACACGCAGCCAGGGCTGGCTCTGAACATCACTGCCTGACCTGCAGCAGCTCCTGTTGAGGCCCTTCCTCCAGGCAGCACCCAAGGGGGTGAAAAGCAGGCGGGCTGCTGGCAAGGAGCCCTGATCCTCAGCTGGGGAACGTGGAAGGAAGGGACTTTGCAGCGTGGCTGAGCTGGACAAAGCTCCCTGCCAGGCACCGAGTACCCACACAACCTGCTGGGTACCCCAGGGACGCAGTGCTAGGGCTTGAGGGTTATGGATGAGCATGGAAACTCATCTGGAGCTCTCTGGCAATCCCGTAGTTCCAAGAGCTGCACCGGGCTGGAAAAGACCTGATGGTGCGAGACTCCTCGGGCCGGACCGTCCTGCACCACGCTGTCAAATCAGGGAGCAAGGACATCGTCAAATACATCATCGAGAACGGTGAGCTGGGGCTGGCTTGCTGTGGCCAGAGTGCTCCTGGGCATGCGATCCTGTCCCTCCAGATTCATCACACCCTCCCACTGTGGCACGGGCTTTCTTTAGCCTCTGTCTGCAAGTATTGGGGTGCCCCCAGGCTGTTACCACATCCTTGCTGGGCCCAGCATGTCCCTGGGAAAAATTTCCCAGTGTCCCGCTTCTGCTTTCGGGGGAGCTGACCTGTTGTTTTTGGCAGCTCCTGCTGAAATGCAGGCTGATTTATTTGTATTTAGATACTTCTCTGTAATGAGACCGCAAGCAACTCTTCTTCCCTGCTCTCAGCTGGGGTCAGATGCAGTTGCTGGCCTGAGTGTTTGGGAGCCCAGCCCCTCGCAGGCGGTGCAGATAGCAGCCCCTACAGCCAGAGGCAGCGCGTGGCTGGGGAGCGGGTAGGCCCAGCTCTGCCCCGCAGGTGGGTCTCACTTGCCCTGCACTCTTTCTCTCCACAGCCCCTTCAGAAATCCTCGATGCCACAGAGGAAGAGAAGTAAGTCGTTTCCTGACGCGTTTTACCTTGTTGGCCGGACCCCCTGCACGATGACTAGAGTCACCCAGGCCCTTCTCATGCCCCGCTGTCCTCACTGTAATCCCCAGACAAGGCTTCCAGCCTGTTCAAACCATCCCCAAGCAGCATCCCCTCCTCTGCTAGGGCTGCCCAGACAAGCATGCAGCCCGCCATGAGCTCCTTCTGCAGCCCGAGGGACATCCCTCACACGCAGTGCTTGTCCCGTCTTGCCACGTTTATGGGGAAGGTCTCACATCTCCCCCTTTTCCCCCTCAGCGGTGAGACCAGCTTGCACCAGGCTGCAGCGTTACGCCAGCGCACGATCTGCCACTACATCGTGGAGGCTGGGGCGTCGCTGATGAAGACGGACCTGCAGGTGATGGCAGAGGGCTGGGAGGGGGCTTGCTGGGGGCACCGTGGCAGGAGTAGGGCCTCACAGGGCTGTCCGAGGAGGAGATCAGCAGTGTTTTGGCTGGAGCCTTTGCCAGCAGGCAGCCTGCACATGGGAAAGGCAGAGCTGGGAGGAAAGGAGCCATTCGGGGCTCCCAGCAGCAGAGGGGTTAAATCCCTCTTCTCCCCCCCTTCTCCCATTTGCTTCTCCCTCTGTTGTTTTATTAAATTAGGAGCAAGGCGCTGGAATGTCTCATCCCTGTCTCCCCCTTCCCACCCTCTGGGGTCACAGCGAGGACAGTCTCGCTGGCGAGCTCCCTCCCAGCTGCAGGGCTCCCCCCTCGGAGCCGGGCTGGGAGCGCTCGGAGCTCCTCGGGTGAAGCAGAGAGTGTCAGCAGGCGGTCGGGGCCCTCTCGTTCACATGCCAGATTAATTGAGATGTGTCTTGGTGCCAGGGACTCGTGCCAGCCCCCGCAGAGGAGCTGCAGGAAGGGGGCTGAAGCGGTGTTTTGCTATGTGAGGCTCCTGGGGCTGGCGTTGCAGCGGAGGGGATGTGCTCATACCTGACAGGGGAGACGAGGTGCCACATCCAAAAAATGCAGCCCGTGGGGCTGCAACCAAGAGCCCGACCAGGGCTGCAAGCTCACTGGGGCTGGTGGAGCTCGGGGGGTGCCTCAGACAATGAGCAGCCCCTTTGCCAGCTGCCAGGGGGATGCTGTACAGACAATCTCTGGCTACCGATCAGTCCTCCTGGGGGGCTGGCCCGCTGGGGACTCGGCCGGTAGCCACAGGATGAGAAGGGGCTGCCCAGCTGAGGGGAGAGCCAGCAGCAGAGGGCAGCTGAGGAGGCACAGCCCTTCTCGGTGCTTCGGGCAGGGGCGCAGGCTGAGCTATCTGCCTGGTGAGCAGCCCCAGACCTGCCAGCACAGAAAGGAGCCCGGCTCAGGACTGACAGCCTGCCCCGGGGAGCGGGGCTTGCGTGTGCCTGCGTGCGCACACGCCTGGCTTTGTGGCTGCCTGGGGACCCAGCTGCTCCGTGGCGCTGACCTTGCGTAGCCCCCCGGGTTACAGCCTGCCTGCACAGGCAGGAACTAGCCTCTGCAGAAAGCCCGCTGCAGGACCCTTTGTCAGAGCTGCAGCGCAGCTGGGAGACAGTCTGATCCGTCCCCTGCAGCAGAGAGGGAGGCCGGCCCTTATCAGGTAGCGTGCATCAGCCCGGCCCTGCAGAGGGGCCCTGCGAGCTCCAGTTTCAGGCTGTGGATCTGGGCAGGCAGTGCCGGATCAAGGCTTCTGCAGGGGGACGAGGGAGAAACTCAATTCCTCCTCCTGTTTTTTGTTTTTTTTTTTTTTTTTCCCCCCTTTGTTAAATGACTGCTCGGATTCAGCCGCTGCAGAGAGGAGGCCCCCCGAGCAGTGAAGCACAGAGCAGCCCCAGCCCCCTGCCCGAGCGCCTGCTTGCACAGGACCTTGTGGCATACCCGTGTGTGTGTGTGTGTGCAAAATAGGTTCTTGCACACTTCGCAGCCAGAACAGAGCTGTCCCCGTGGTGGCTCTGTCCCTTACGGCGGGGTGGGCTCGAGCTTTTTGTACCCACGCAGGGCAGAGGCTCCTTGTGCCCGGCCTTTGTTCGTGCTGAAGCAACAGAGCTGCTGCGGGTTGTCCTGAGGGCCCCCGCGCCCCCTGCAGCCCCCCGTGCCCCGCTGTGCGCCGCGGGACGAGCTGGGCAAGCCGTGCTTCCCTCCGGGGGCCGCTTTTCAATGGCAGCGGCAGCGTGCCAGGTTTCTGTGGCCTTTCTCAGCAGAGGGTTTGTTCAGCACCGCAGAGCCCGGGCGCTTAACGAGAAGGAGCGAGGAGCAGGGGGAGGGAGGGGGAGAGGAGACGTAGCGGCGAGCTGTTAACAGATTTGCTTTTTATGGAGTGCGGGAGTTCATTAGTGGACACAGTCCAGATGGCTGCAATAAGCTGGTGAAATGTGAGCCTCCTCCGGGAGCGGGAGCGCTGGTGAGGCTGCGAGAGGGAAGGGGGGTTGGTATTCCCGGGCATTCCCCAGACATACCCCTCATTCCTCACCCTCTCCTGCCTGCCTGCGCAGTGCCGGGGAAGAGCAGGTCACGGAGAGCAGCCTTTGTCTCCTCTGCGGGGCTGGTGGAGGTGGGACTGGTCCTGGTCCTGTCCCGCACGTAGGGCGCGTGGCCCTTTTTGGGATGGCTTCCAGCCCCGCGGCTCAGCTGGGCTCCTCAGGAGCTCACTTTTGCCCCGTAGCAGGCACACGGGCAGTGGGTGTGGGGCTGCAGGGCCCATGCAGAGCCCCCTTTTTAACGGGGGAACCTCAGGGTGCCAAGAGGGCTCACACAACTGCCTTCAGGCCGTGCTCCTTGTGCTGACGCGTTGCCTCCCCCCTGCAGGGAGACACCCCCAAGCACAGGGCAGAGAAAGCCAATGACCCTGACCTGGCTGCCTACCTCGAGAACCGACAGCACTACCAGATGATCCAGCGGGAGGACCAGGAGACAGCTGTGTAGTGCTCAGCGTGCCTTAGCCCAAGCCAGCTCGGGCAGGACGAGAAGAGGACGGCACCTGGCAGAGCTGTGAGTCTGGCCCAGCCCTCCCTGGGTGTCAGCCTCGGAGGAGGAGATGGAGACAGCAGAGCTCTGCTCCAGGCTGGGCTGGGACTCTGTTTGAGGACAGTGGGTATTTGGGACTTGAAGCCCGGCTCTTTGTGTGTCCCCCTTTGCCTCTCATCCACCACGTTCCCCGCTCTGGATGGGCTCCTCCCCAAAGCCCACCGGGGCCGGCAGGGATGGAGCCGCCCGTCACCTTTGCACAGGGGAACGCTGCCAGTGCCCCCGGCAGGTCCTCAGCTGTGACCCACGTGGGATGTCCCTGCTCACCCCTCTCCCTGCCGGCAGTGCCCCCCGTTAGCCTCTTCACTCGGTTCACGTCCCGTTCCTCCTCTCCTCCCCAGCAGCCACAGGAGGTGCAGGCAGGCAGCAGCGTTGCCTGTGCAGGGGCTGAACCTAAAATCTTGCCCCGAGGGAAGCTCTGCAACTTGTGGCCTCTGAGTCCTCGTCCCTCCTGCTGCTTTGGGACTGCCCCGGCTCTCTGTGGCAGGAGGAAGGTCCCTGGCGTGTTAGGGGACGTGCACCCACCCCTTCCTCAGGGCTCCTGGGACTAGTGCAGCTGGAAGCCTGGCAGCCGCTGCCCTCCTGGGTGCCTTCGGTGCTGGGGTCCGTGCTGCTCTCAGGGATTCCCCCCGCGCCCCCAGCCTGTGGGTGTGCATCCTCTGAGCATGGCTTCTGCCAGCCCCTCAAACGGGACCCAGGGCTTCGCAGGGAAAACCCGGGAGGCTGCCCTGCCCAGACACAAGCTCCCTGGGCAGGCTGCCAGCCTACCTCTAGGGTTTTAGCAGAACGAGGGGTTCGGATGCGTAGGAAGCATCGGGGACCCCGGCCCTGAGTCCCGCATGTGCTGGGCTGGCATTTTGGGTACCACCTGCCACGGGGCACGAGGCACCGTCTGCCCTGCAGCAGCTGTGAGCCCAGGGGCAGCAGAGCAGCCCCTGCAGCAGCTTTTGCAGCAGCAGCAGCAGTCTCTGGGATGCAGAGGTGGCAGCAGGGGAGGAGAGCAGGCAGCTGAGTGTGTTGTGGACCTGCTTGGTGTGTTCAGTCAGGCCCAGGTTGCTGCTGGCAGGTTGGGTACCAGGAGAGGAGGCTGGGGCAGCCCCACCGTGCGCTCACACCCGGCTGTGGCTGCTGCACAGTGCCGGCTGACACCCTCTGCATCCCCCCACAGCACCAATACCAAAAAGAACGAACGTGTCACGATACCACAGAGAACCACAATCTTGTTCAGGCTTTAGGTTGCGGGGCAGAGTTACCCTCGAGTATGGGGGGAAGCTGGGCCAGGGCAGTGCGTGAGGCTGGTGTTGGGGTTCAGCAGCAGAATCAGCAGTCAATATCCTTGTCCTGACCGTGATGCTCCAGCAGTGCCAGGAGTTCCCACCAGTGCTGCTCGCTGGCTGCAGACGGACAAGGCACTGTCATCTTCTCAAAGGTGCAAGCTGCTGCCTCCCAGCCTGGCCTGGGGGCGTTCACAGCCCCAGCTTCCCCCTTCCTCCCCGGTTTTGTATGTCCCTTTAGTTTTTGTACAGGTAGTTCAGAGACACACTGTCCCCCTCCCCGCCGGGCCCCTGCGCGCGTGAGCCGAGTTGCTGTGCAATTCCACGTCTGGCTGGTTTCTTAGGCAGAGGCGGAGGGGGTGTTTGTAGCCCTGCCCGCGGAGGGCAGGGGATCTGTGCAATACCTGGTTCTGTGTTTCCCAGATGCTGTCGTAGGACTGTATTTTTGTAACTCTGTAAGGGTGCCGGCTCTAGCAGGCCCAGGGCCTGGCATGAGCCTGCGCTCCTGTTGCTTTTCAACTTTGACTGTTTGGATGTTGTTGTTTCTTGCCATTGAAATAAAGAGTTGGATGTTTTAATTCCTCCCTCCTTTAATTGCTGCTGCAGTGGGCACGGCGTGGGCGACGGCTGGCACTGAGCGAGGTCTGACCCCAGGTCTTCTGTCCCACATCCCATCGCTATTCAGCGTCGCGTGGAACAGGGAGAAGACCCACCAAGTGATGCAGGAGAGCTGAGAAGTGTGCCAGGAGCTGCCAGCTCCTGCCCCTGCCCTGCTCACGCTGCTCTGGGCCGGGAGGCAGCAGTCCCACGATCACGCTTTGCCCTTTACAGCTGCACAGCTCTTGATGGGTTACAGCAGCAGCATCCCACCTCCAGCACCTCCTGCAGGGCCCTTCTTTGTGGCAAGCTGTCCCCCTGCTCCACGGGGACGAGTCTGCCTTCCCATCCATCCCCAGCCTCGCAGGAGGGCTTCTGCTTCCAGCGCTGGGCACTGGGGCGGCGTTGCGAGGTTGGGGATTAGCTGCAGCAGGAGGACTGCTATCTGGTTACAAAAGGAGGGGATTAGGAAGGCTTCTGCCTCCAGCCCAGCCGCTGACACATCGGGATGCCTGTGGCCAACACCATCCCTCCCGCAGAGCTCCCTTCGCAGAGGGGAGGTGATCAAGCCCGCCGGGCCCGGCGAGGGAGCTGGAGGCAGGCACGGGCTGCGGGCCCGCACCTTCAAGTCAGCTTCACAGGGCAGCCTGGCCGCCTGCCTGGCACCACCACGGCCCCTTCTCTGTCCCCAGCACATCGTCCCTGCCCCACGAAGCCCCCCTCGCTCTGGCTGCACCCCGGGAGCTGGCAGAGGGACCCGCGGGTGCCAGGCCCTGCCCGGGGCCCAGCCGCACGCGGTGCCGGCCTGCTGGCGCTCGGCCCGCGTCTCCGCAGCAAGGCCTGCCAGTAACCATGGCAATGGGTTTTCCAGCCGCCCCGGTGTCGGGTTTATGGTGGGGGAGAGGAGCAGTTCCCGGTGCGGGCAGCACGCATGGGGCGTGTGTGAGTGCCCACGGGGACCCTGCCAGCCCAGGGTGAGGGCTGTGTAAATCGCCACCTGTGCTGGCGGTGCTCTCACCTCAGCCCCGTCCCAGCGAGGAGCTTTCCCCTCACACGTAGCCATGTCCCCGCGTTGGCACCGCTGCAGCGTGCGGTCACGGTGCCCCAAGGAGCAGGCTTTGTGTGCTGGGGGTGGAAAACGTGCCGCCAGCACGCCGCGAGTTGCCTTGTGGTGTTGTTAAGGGGGTAAAAAGCCCTAGAAAAGTGGTGGGGAAATGCACCTGGGTTTGTCACGCTCGCTTCCCTTCCCTTCCCTCCTTCCCTTGGTATGAGGCCCCTTTCTGCAAGCGCTGCCTTCTGCTTCTGATTTGAGCCGCAGGAGCCGTTTCCCCTGCATCCCACAGAAAGGGCCCGGCAGGGACCGAGCGCGGCCCCATCTGAAAACGGGGGGGACTTTGCCCAGAGCTGCGCCCTACCTTGGGCAGCACCACGCTGGGGGCTCCAAGGGGCTCTTTGGCTCCTGTCCAGGGCAGGCTGAAGGAAACCAGCGGTGCTCACCCTGCTGCCAGCTCTTCCCCAGCTCTACGTGGCTCTGGTTTGCTCATCACAGCCCCGAAACCCATCCCGGTGTGTGCGCCCCACTGATCCCACAGCAGCCCTGGGGGCTCCCACCACAGCCCCGTTCTCCTGATGGGTAACGTGAGGGGAGCCTCGGCTCAGCCCCTACCCCTGCTCTCCCATGGGGACAGAGATGGTGGCGGGTCCGTCCGTGGGTGGCAGAGGTCACCAGAAGAGGGAAGGAGGCACGAGGTGGGGACACGGGGCTGTCCCTTTGCCCCATTGAGCCCCGGGGTTGTGGGGGCATCACCAAAGGGGTCTCGGAGCCCCAGAGCGAGCAGCACCAGCTCGCCCCCCGTTCAGCCACCCTACAGCGCCCGGCCAGGGGGACAAGGGACAAGGGACATGGGGACCCCCTCCCCATTTGGGGGCTCGGAGCCGCCCCCTCGGGGCTGAGCATCCCCCTCCAGCCCCCTCCACCCCGGGGGCCGCCCCTCGGCGGGCCGCCCCCTTTTGTGCCTGGCCGTGCCCGGGGGTTACAGGCAAGGGGAGGGGAGGGGGGGCGACACAGAGGGGAGGAGCCTGCCAAAATTTGGGGCCGAGCCCACCTTTCTCTGCCGGCCGAGCCCGACGTCAGGGGCCGCTGTGCAGCGCTGCGCGGCGGCTCCGCACGCGGCCGCCACACAAAGGCAGCGGCGCCGCTCCGCGCCCCAGGTGAGTGCGGCCCCGACGGGGTGCCCCGGCCCCCCAAACCTCATCCCCATCCCCCGGGGGGCGGGAGAAGGGGGGTTATGGGCTGAGGGAGCAGCTGCGGGGGTCGCGGAGCAAGAGGGGAGGCGTGGGGGGGTGCTGGATCTTAGCCCCCCGCGCACACGCTTGGGGAGGGGACGGCGCTGCCTGAGGGTGGGGAAGGGAAATGGGGGGCCCTGGGTGCTCCCTTCGGCTGGAGGGGGTCTGGGGGTATGGGGGCAGAAAGCCCCCCTCGTCCCCAAAGTGCCCGGTCCTGGTGCTGTGGGGACAGAGGGGTCCTGTCCCCTGTGCCCACCCCCCCGCTGCCCAGCCGAGGAGGAGCTCGGCCCCGGTGCTGGGGCGCCTCTTCCAGCATCGCCTGGGGGGGTTTAGGCTCTGGTTTAGGGTCAGGGCACCCGGAGCAGGGAGGGGAAGCGGGGACAGCCCTTGGGTGAGCAGCGGGCAGGGGGAAGGAGGGGAAAGCGGGCAGAAAGCTGCCCTGCCTTTTATCCACGATCGCTTGAGGATGAGGGTCCCTGCGCACCCTGCATGGGGTCCCCACGCCTTGGGGACCCAGGGGCGCCCATGGCTGAGGAGGGGGCTGAGCAGGGACAGTGCCAGAGGGCGCAGACACCAAGGGAAGTGCTCTGTGGCGGAGGCAAGAAGTTACAGAGCACCAAACACCGAGCAGCGGGCGACGCCGTGCATCGTGCGGGTGCCAGCGCTGCCCCAGGGGACCCTGCAGCAAGCGGGGCAGGAGAAGCTCAGCCCCAGCCCTGCCCTCCGAAATCAGGCTTGTGGGCTGAGCCCTCGTCCCCTCCGAAGGCAGCAGGGCCGTGCTGGGCAGGATGGTTCCCAGCCTTCATCCAGCCGGGCTGTGTAATCCCCCCTGACAGCTCCATTCAGAGCAGAGCCAGCGGCGGGCGCACGGAGGCGAGGGTGCTGGAGCCTGCCTAACGCGGGCACCGCTCTCCAGCAGGCATCGATCCCCCAGCCCACGGGGCTGCTGCCAGGAAGGGCTCGCCCTGCCGTTGTGCACACACACACACACACACACACACTCATGCACACGCCTGGTGCACACGCCTGGTGCTCGGGCGATGTGCCGATGGGTGTAGAGCCAGCAGTGGGCGCAGCGCTCCTGCTAAATCGCTCCAGCGAGCTCGCACACTGCGTGCACTTGTGTGTGAGATCTGCTGGCTCAGCTCCCCGGCCCCCCCATGGCAGGGGGCTGCTTTCCTGGGATTGTTTCTCCCATCCCTGGATTCCTTGGGAGCCGGGGTAAGGCACCATGGCAGCCACAGGCTCTGGCCCCGGCGTTCTTTGGTGCTGGGCGCTGGATGAGAGCCGCTGAGCACTGCGGGGCCGTGTGGCACAGGGTCCCCACCGTCCCCCCCATCCCTCCTTCCCCAGGCAGGATGCAGCCCCGGGGCCTCCTCCTCCTCCTGGCGCTGCTGCTGCTGGCTGTCACCACCGAGGCTGGCAAAGCCAAGAAAGGTGAGGGGGAGCCTGGGGAGATGTGGGGGGGTCAGGGGCACGCTCCCACCACTCCCACCCGCTCCCTGTCTTGCAGACAAGGTGAAGAAGGATGGCTCCGAGTGCCAGGACTGGCGCTGGGGGCCCTGCGTCCCCAACAGCAAGGACTGCGGCTTGGGCTACCGCGAGGGGACCTGTGGGGACGAGAGCAAGAAGCTCAAGTGCAAGATCCCCTGCAACTGGAAGAAGAAATTCGGAGGTGTGGGGGCGGCCGGGGGGTGGCTGGGGGCTGCGCCGGGTGCTGCACGTCCGTAACACCTCTTGCCTCTCGCAGCCGACTGCAAGTACAAGTTTGAGAGCTGGGGAGGGTGCAGCGCGCAGACGGGCGTGAAAACTCGCTCGGGCATCCTGAAGAAAGCCCTGTACAACGCCCAGTGCGAGGAGATCGTCTACGTGAGCAAGCCCTGTGCCTCCAAGATGAAGTCCAAGTCCAAAGGTGAGTCCCCAGCCTCCCACCCGCCCCCGGGCAGTGGCTCTTGGGGCTGGGGGGGCTGTTTTGGGGCAGCAGGGGTCTGCCAGCGGCCGTGCTAACGCCTGTCTCCCATGGTCATCGGCTGCAGCAAAGAAGGGCAAGGGGAAGGACTAGAGCGGGACGCCGGCGTCCTCGTCGGCCCCTGGACGTGTGCACCTCTCCCCACTGCAGCGAGCCATGCTCCAGCCTTCCTCCTCCTCCTCCTCCTCCCTCTCCTCTCCCCACCACCTCCCCTTTCACAGAGATGCCTTGTTTAACCGCTACTCTAGTCGAGGGCAGGCGTGCCCACCTCGGGAAGGTGCCACCAGCCTGGCGGCCACCGTGTCCCCTCTGCACGTCGCCTCAACTTGCGCCGTGCCAGCACCAGCACCCGCGCCAGGTGGGCACTCTTGTGTCTTTTGGAAAATGGGGTTCGGTTTCTTTTCCAATAAAAATCTTTTTTAAAAACATCCATGAATCAGAATCGCCTCTCATCCCTGTGGGTACCCCAGAAGAAGGGAAACCAGCCCTGCAGCCACCACATCCATCCTCCACTTGGGGTGAGGCTGCAAACACCTTCGGAGGGGCCAGCACCAGCATGGGGCACCCCCCAGGACCAGAGAGCAGAGAAGTCACTGGGTGGCTGGGGACAGTGGCCTGGGTGCCACACACACGTGCCCTGTGCCAGCACCCCATCTCAACAGCACTTTGGGCTGCCTGCCACCCCTCTCCCCTGCTCCCACCCATGCTCTTTCTGTGACAAAAACA